TACCATATTTACTCCATCCAGAAAAAGTCAAATGGCTGGTTTAACTAATTGACCCAGTCTTTTCAATGTCTAGCATTAGAAAGAAATAAATGTGCTAAAAATGCACTCTCGTACCATATCTTGAAGTCATTTCCTTGTGTAAGAGCTTCAGTTGTTGGTGGCTGTGAAATTAGAATACACTTTGCTATGTGCATTATTGTCACTGACAAAAATATTAAATGCAACAGAAATCAAATCATTTAATGGAAGAACATGAGCATGCTTTTATTTCTAATTACCCTTTCTCTGCCTTGAAACTTGCTACTTTTAATTCTTCTTCTGTCTTATGAAGTTTAGCCTTAAAAAAAAATTATTTTAGTTTAGACCATTAAATAAATAAAATGTAAATGAATATTAACTACTTAATAACCGAGAGTAAGGTCATTATGGGAAAATCTCAAACTGAGGTCAATGCAGTAGGCCGAGGTTTGAGATTTTCCCGTAACGACTGAACGGTCGGGGTTATTAAGTTGTTTATTATATGGCTCATGAATTAAAGAAAAAAAAATTATTTGAGCAGAAGTCGTCAATTTACATCTGGCGATGTGCGCGTTTACCATACCAATTCATCCATCGTCTCAAACCCAGGGCAAAACTACAGAGTCAGTGAACTTCACCACTGTATTTCTTTACAGGAAAAATGAGTGTCACAGCCCTCAAAAAGGTATTTTAGTATTGTGGTGCCACAACTTGATGAGGGAGTTTTTCCAACTTTTGTGGCGAAATGTCTACATATATAGAATAGACAGAAAGTACTTCAAAATGGTCCAAACCAACAGTCTTTCGGTGAAAGAAAATACTAATGCTTCAGAATGCACTGCTCAGAATAACTCAATCTTTGCATTCGCTCTCGACAACATATCTTGGCCTTCTTCNTTAGAATACACTTTGCTATGTGCATTATTGTCACTGACAAAAATAATGCAACAGGAATCAAATCATTTAATGGAAGAACATGAGCATGCTTTTATTTCTAATTACCCTTTCTCAGCCTTGAAACTTGCTACTTTTAATTCTTCTTCTGTCTTATGAAGTTTAGCCTTAAAAGAAAAATTATGTTAGTTTGGACCATTAAATAAATAAAATATAAATGAATATCATATAATAATATTAATAAGCAATAACATGATTGTCATACTCAATCTGTTACCGAACATGTCTATAAGCTGAGTAGACATTATTCTTACAACTTGATACTAATCAAAGAGGCATAAAAAATGAATTTCCTACATCTTCAATCTAACAATTTTGCATAGCCTGGTTTGATCTTAGTATTTGTTGAGATTTGTTAGGGTTTGTCAGGGTAGCTTTGGTTTGGCAATCAACAGTGTGTTCAAACAGCTTTTCAGTCCATCAACTTTCTTGTGTCATCATAATTTATATAGTATTCAATGCTGATTGCTTAACAAACCTCTAACAAGGCTCTCTCCTCATTAAGTTTATCAAGAACCATTTTATGCTTGCCATTAGCTTCATCTAAAATCTTCTGGTGATCAGTGGAATTCCTAAAAAAAATGACAAACATAATATTGACAATCAATAACATTTTAATATCTATGAACTACAAGCTGATTAACATGTGAGCCAAACATTTGACTACATTCTAAGCATACTGTCACCTTTCTAGAGCTTCCAACTTCTCCTGAAGGGTCAATATTGTTCCTTTGTGTTCCTGGGTTGTTTCATATAACTGCCAGGTAAAATTATAAGGCACTATTAAACTGGGCTACAGCTTGCACAACCAAAGAAGGCAATCATGAATTTAAGATGGTCTACTCTGGGTTTTGTCCTTCAGTAATTTTAAGTTAAGGTGGTTCCATTACTGGATAGTTAGAACT